ACCTTCTTTATCATTTCTCAAAGTGCAGATCTGCTAAAGATTAATTTTTAAACTTTTATCTATTTAAAGATGTATTTATCTCACTTTCATTTTTGAAGAAAATTTTTGCTGAATGTAGAATTCTGGTTTGACATCATTTTTCTTTTATCACTTTCAAGTTGTTTCATTTTATTTGTCCTCCATTATTTCTGATTAAAAGTCACTTGCTATATGTATCATTGTTCCCTTGTATGTAACGTGTTGTTTTCCTTTGGCTGCCTTTAATATTTTCTCTCCATCTTGGATTTTCAAGAGTTTGATTTTGATGTTTCCAGATGTGGTTCTCTCTGTATTTATCCTAGTTGGGACTAACTGGATCTTCCTTTCTTTTAACCTAATTTGGGAAATTTCCAGAAATTACTTTTATGTCCTATTCTCTTTTTCCCTTCTCTTTGAGAGGTCAATGACATGTATGCTATATTGCTTTTACTGTCCCTGAGGACAGGTCACTGAAGCATTTGTTAATTTTTTAAAATCTCTTTTTTCTCTCTGATTTTCATATTGGGTAATTTCTACTGATTTGTCTTCAAGCTCACTAGCTCTTTCTTTAATAGTCTCCAATCTGATGTTATGGTCAATTAGCACATTTTTTATTTCAGATATTTTATTAGTCTATGCTAAATCTCCATTTAGTTCTTTTCTATAGTTTCTATTTTTCTGTTGAAATTCTCATCTCTTTACTTATTATGACTGTCTTTACAGCAAGGTCCTTGAACCTATTTTTCACAGCTTCTTTGAAACCCTTCCGTACCAATTCCAACATCTGGGTCATCTAGGAATCTGTTTCTATGGACTGCTTATTTTCTTAAGTATGAGTCTTATTTTCCTACTTCTTTGCATCTGTAGTAATTTTTAATTTTATGCTGGATATTTTGGATGAGACATCATAGAGAATCAGGATTTTGACATCATCCCTAGAAACTTGTTGAATTTTTTTCCTATCAGGTAATTGAATGATGAAACATGCTTGGTTTTAGTCTTTGTTAGGGAAGGTCTGTTTTGGTTTTGAGCTCAGTCTTAATGTGTGATCCTTTCTGGAGGTCATGGTCCTTACTCTTGAAGCATGGCCTATCTGGGGTCTCACCTGAATGCCCGAGGTACTCAGTGAGGTCTCTTCACACTGGTACTTCAACATCTCCCATCACAGCAGGTCCTCTGGTATTTACATTTAGCACTTAGTCCGGTAGCAGGCAATCTCTGCTACATGAAGTTTCACTCCTCACACTGACCAAGGATCTGCAGTACATACTCATGCACACACCTTTATCCCCAATCTTCTCACACAGCTACCTCTTCTTTTGCCACCTTCCCTGTAAATTACAGCTTTTCTAGTATTCTAATTTCTGCCTCCTCAGCTCAGTGAGAATGAAGTTTAACTTGATTTTCAACTCTGAATTAAGGCAGGAAAATAATGCCAGCAAAAAGCTGAGAAAATTGTGAGGCTCACTATGTATATTTCCCTTCTCCCAAGGATCACAGTCCTGCTGTGACCATTGTCCAATGCCTGCAAATAGTTGCCTCATATACTCTGTCCGGCTTTATAGGTTTTTACAGTAGGAAGGCAGGTCCAGTACCAGTAACTCTGTCATGGCTGGAATAAAAAACCCAAGGGTTTATATTTAATTTTCACAAAACTTTGTGAGAGAGTATTTGTGAAGTAGGTACTATTATTATAACCAATTTTATAGAGAATTAACCTCAGGCTAACTAGTGAGTCAGGGAGTCAGAACCTGGGCAGATAGATTCCAGACTCTGTGTTCCGATTCAAAATACTACACTGCCTCTGCAACATGAAATTATTTTTATTTCCTTCATGGCATTTGTCACACTCTCTTTTTCTCATATATTTATTATTTGCTTTTTACATTTCACTTGCTACTTCTTCTACTGTACAAAACACCATACATTTCCTATTTACAACTGCCTCCTCATTACCTATCACAGGTTTTTGGTAGGCATTCAATAAATATTTATTGAATGAACGAATGTAGATGCCACCATTATAAAATAATTTTGAAAATAGAATCCATTCCACATATTTGGTAGTTTTACACTTCATCTTGCCTGCCACCTTGTGGCATCAAAATTATGCAACAAAAACAAACAAAAATCTAAAGGTGGAGAAATATGCAAAAAAGTGATATGCATCATTAGAATTATCATTACATGCATCAAAATGTAGTTACATGCTAAGAAAAGAGTTACAGCAGGATTTCTAGTCTTGATAAGAAAGCAGTAACTAGAAATCAGTCTTAGGAATGTTCAAAACACCTGCTGATAAACAAGGGCAGTCGTTTGATGAAGTGAACACAGAGTTGATGGGTTTGGTGAATCTAGGCATTGCTCTGGGTTGAAGTACAATAATGATTTCCATGTTTGCCATTTTGGATATGTTATTAGAAAAAAAGAAAAACCATTTTTGTTAATAGTTGTTTCTAGAGACTTTGTATCACTTATTATCATATTTTAAATGGCAATACTCAGCTGATTAATTTCAAAATGTATCTTTGTTGAACTTAAAACCATAAAGTTATGTTTCTTGTAGTCTTTTACATGAAAAAAATAATATGCACTTATTTTTATCAGACGCAAAACTATATGATAGTTTTAAGCTAATTTTTGTGTTAACAAATCCCTAAAGATATGCAGGAGACCTCACATTTACATAAAATTAAAGAAAGGATGCTTCAACAAATGCAAATAAATGCAAAAAAGGAATATTTTAATTTTGATCCATGATTAGTATCAACCATCACAATGTGGTAATAATACAAAAGCAAAATTTTGCATTCAGTGGTTGTAAGCTATTTATAGCCTGAGTATCCTGATTAATTAATTCATTTATTTTGAGAAATATATTTATTGATTATATTTCAGGCTCTATTTTTAAATCTGAGGTCTTTACAACATTTTAATATTAGAATCATATGCACTGACTTCTGCAGTTCTGCAATATGACAAGCCCAGAAAAATGATTTACTTCTCTTGGTGCATTATTAATTGTACGAATTGACTGTTTGACCTCTATTGATTTGCATTTCTTACTTAATGTTCAGCTTAGAAACAGAAGCAAAAGTTATTTTACAATAGGAAAAAAATTATACAAAAGTTAATCTTAGCATAATAGGGAAAATCATTTTACTATTCACCATTTTATATCCTCCCCTCAGTAGTTTTCAAGGTCTTAAAAGAATACTTCTGTTTTAAAAAAAGTTTCTGGGGCTGGTCCCATGGGCTGAGTGGTTAAGTTTGGCTTGCTATGCGTTGGCAGCCCAGGTTCACTGGTTCAGATCCAGGGCACGGACCTAGACCACTCATCAGCCATGCCATGGTGGCTACCCACATATAAAATAGAAGAAGACTGGCACAGATGTTAGCTCAGGGCCAATCTTGCTCAGCTAAAAAAAAAAAAAAAAAGAAAAGAAAAAAGGAAAGAAAGAAAAAAGATTTGAAAACCCATCCAACCATTCTGATATCCAGGAGATATTTTCCCTAGAATGTAGGCCATGTTGATGGCCCTTCTTTTGTGTAGTGAAAGCCACGAAGAAGGTGATATATAATTACTTTCAATGCATCTCAATTCATTATTGTTTACCTATGCCTGTCGATTTTCTGGGCTAGTTCTAATTTCAAATATTTTTTCCATTGTGCTCACAAGTCACCCAAGTAGCCCAGAAATTCCAGTATTTTGATATACTGAAATACATGTTACGTTTCCAATATTGGTCCTTTCAAATGGAAATGGAATAAAATTCTTTGACAGACCATATGTTCTGATATTTGGTTTGGAAATTATGGCTGCATAAAATTTTTCCAGAAAATATAGAGCTGAATTTTCTTTTGGTGTCCAAGAGCATCTGCCTTTAGGTTCTGTAGTTTACTTGTGAATTTCAAAGTGATTTTGTTGTCTGCAGGTCCTTGATGTCAAGCTTAAGCCTATAAGCTTGAGGTCTCCATAGGGCTGTGAAGAACGTTGGGTAGAACTTTTACATCCTCGTCGATGTAGACATGTAAGTTACTGTCGCCATGCTGGAAGATCTCCACTTATGTAATGGGTCTTAATATAACTGATAGTTATGTTTCCCAGTGATTATTTACAACGCAGGCATCATGTTTTCATGTAGATATTAGTTTTGTTATTTGTATCCAAAAGAAGCACAGGATGTGTGAGAACAGAGAACGGATGAAACAAAATCTCTAGGTAAATCGCTCTAAGTCAGACAGGGAGGGATAGAAGCATCATAATTCTAAGGAAAGAATTACTTGAAAGGCACAATATAATCACTTCATCTTTGCTGTAGATTAAACTGAATATTACCTACTAAAAGGGCAAGGCCTTTAGGAAACAGGACATAGGAAAGGTCCATTTTTACAGAAAAAAAGATAGGCAGGAGTAACTCTGGGGATTCTAAGAAGCCACAAGATAATGTAATGATACAGAGTTCTGAAGAGGAATAGATATACGAAAAAGAAATCTTTAAGGACATAGATAAAAAGTGTTTCACACCTTTGGACAGCTGTCACACCCACTGCTGCACAGCGTCCTTTGAATCAGCTGTGCTGTCACCAAATAAGCCACAAACTTTCAAGTCTTTGCTGACGGCTACAGTTGGTGTCTCCTTCTACTATTCTCCATATCTTGTGCAATTTTGGAAATCCTTCTCACCCCTTACTTCCCTTATTTGCTCCCTCTTTTCCCTGCAGTAATTTACTACTACAGTTATCCGCCACTTATTTTGCCCTGCATTATGAATAGTTAGGTCTATTTCTTCCGTTAGGTTTTGAGACGCCCTTTGTGATCTCTATGATTGTCTAGCTTAACACAAATCAAGTAGCAAAGAACTGTTTTCTGTTTTGTCTTTAAATTTACGTGGAATGAGAGCTAGTCATAGAAGCTCACGTAGTGTCCTCTCTTCTTGCATGGATCGTACTTATTTACAGTCATTAATACTTCATTTTACCTGTGCGCGTGATTCAGGGCAAGGTCGGGTTTCCTCATGCGTAGGTAGCACGTAACAAGCTTTGTCTCAATGAAGCTTGCCACACTTGCTATATCTTCAGCAGAGGCTTCAAATGGTTTTCCAAGAGCTGCCCCTTTGCTGCAAAGCTTAAAAAAAAAATACAATACTTTAAATTTCCTAATCATCTTGGCATGTAATTGATCCTGTAAATAAGCATAACATGTATATGTACACACACTTTTCCAAACTATAAGTAAAATATTAATGTTTTGATTGTAAATTAAATAAATTGTTTCTCTTCACTATTATGTGACTATAATATAAAATAAGTAACACATTTTACTCTAAAATGCTTCCTGTAAAATATTTTCAAAGTATGTTATAGTTTAAAGGGTTGCTATTTGCTAACAATGTCTGTTTTAAAAATAAAGCACACAATAAGCAAAGATATTAACAGAAAACCAGGTATAAATCATATTAAATACCGGTGCTTTTATGAAAACCCAGCTGAGCAATGATCTAGCATACTATCAAGTTTGATTTAATATAATAAGGGGTATCGGAAGTAAACTCCTAGGAGCCATTAACATGATCGGTGATTAATTTGAATCTAAATCATATTCTCTAGGATGTTATTGAAAGAAAAGAAGGGAAAATTTATTAGAATCTATTGGCAGACGGCACAGAACCTGAAAAAAATGGCAAGAATGTGAAATTCTTAATAAAAATTCCAGGAAGTCAATTGTTTCTGGGCACCATAGATAAACTGTAGAGGAATAAAATAATTAATTTTTTTGGTGAACCCCAAATATTAAGAAGTGTCCATAATATAACAAGGATAGATCAGCACTTTCTTTTCCCCCTCAGAATTTCCTACTGTTCTTTGGAATCAAGGCTGATGGGGCAGGAGAAACCCCAGCTTCCGTTTAAAGACCTTCTTCAGGATATCCGCTTCTTTACTCTTTTCTATCTCCCTCTATGCATGCACTGGGGGAAATTTTCTCACTGGGGATAGTAATATTTGGAGTTAATACCTGTTTATATATACCTTAATATAAAATTTCCCCTATTCTAAATCTTGTTTGCTTAAATGATATAGTTTAACTAATTTTTCTTTTATAGATTAAGCCAAGATTGGCTTGCCATTTACATTAACATTATTGTCAATTATATTTTTAAGGCAATTTGGTTGAGAAGGGCTATCTATTCTAAAATGTATTTCTCTTCTTAATTTTATCTCAAAAGTATAAGCTAAAAGAGAATCTAGAATCTACATGTTTAACATCCCTAGTTTGAATTGGTCATTACATGGTGCTGGTATCTTTTGCTTGAATATCCTGTCAGTTCTGAGAATTCATATTATTTTTTAAACTCTTTTCCAAGTTGATGGGTGAAAAATGCTACTTCATTCATTTAGTCAATAAATATTTATTGACTATCTACTACTAATTTCCAGACAAAAATTACTGCCTTTACATATGTTAATTTGAATTATACGTCTTTTTCATAAATTTGGCTATTTTGCTCTGTGTAAATTTCTGTTTTCTATTCCTTGCTTATTTCCACTGATGTGTTAATCTTTTTATTATTACTTATGAGTTCTTTATATATAGGCAATTATCCCTTTTCCAGTAACAGCTATATATACACGATCAAATGTAAGAGTTTTTCGCCTCCAAATTATGCTTTAGAAAAGAGTCAACTTTTATTCATATTCTTAAGAGGACTCTCAGTACACACTATAAAACATTTTTCTCAATTATTTTGAAAAAAGAAAAAAGCAAAGACCATTTGTGGAAGATACAATGTAAATGACCTCAGTCAATGCTAATTTTGGATGCTTTAAAAATATTACCTTATAAAATTGGTAATAAAAGAGATAAACATTTAACACTGATTCAGAACTATCCCTGAAGTGTGACCTAACAAATGTCAACATGATTGTAAACACACCTTAAAAAATAATGTAAGAGAGCATTGTAGTTTGAACATGGTAGCTTGAGATAACATCTCCCTTCTTCCACTAATCTGATCCCACAGGACCTAGAAATACCTAAAGAGAAAGTTTTTCAGAAAAAAATATTTTTGGATAGCATAGCTCTTTATGAACCCAAATCAGTACAAAACAAAATGAGTAGAAATGGTGTAGTTTTATTTGTTAGTATATCATAGTATTAAAATTCCCGACCTTCCTTCTTGATTAATTTCATCTTCTAAATGAAATAAGCATTTTTTTCAAGTCTTAAATATCCAAACCTCCTGGACTCTTCATATAAAATTTTATCCAAACAACAAAGAAACAAACAAGACACATATTATATGTATTCTTTGCCCCTTGCTGTCTGTGTTTCTCTCTGATGCAATGAAATGGACAAGCCTCCTTTCTTGGGCACACTTTTTGTGGGATGAATGCATCGGCCATTCAGGGAGTAATCAGGAAGTAGCTTCCGTGAGGACAGTCGGATCCTACACGACAAGAGGAAGCTGACCTGCAGATTTCATACTGTTGAAGGCTTTGTCTATGAACACTGAGAGAAGGTGAAGAATAAATGCCTGATCTTCTAATGTCTGCAATGTTCTCTACTTCCATGAGATTCAAGGCCAGAAAAGGAATAAAAATGATCAATCTTAACACACTAAAGAGAATACTTCAGGAAACCAAACTCTAAGACAGCAGTGAAAGAATAGGATAGTTTTTCAATTCACATTAAAATGGGAAAAAAGGCAGCCTGCTGGCTGATTTTATGTATATTTGTGGTAGTCTTGGTTTATCAATCAAGTGTTACAAGATACAGAACTTTTCTGGTTTTATCAAAGATTGCTTTGTTTTGCCAAAATGGTGCATCTTTAAAATAAGCTTTGCAATAAGGCAAATTCTTATAAGATAAATTGAAGTTGAAAGTAGAATTATAGTTAAATGTAGATATAATATTGGTATCAGGATTATAAAAAACATTCCAGATATTTTACTGAACTTTTAAATTTCCATGCAGATATTTGTAAAGACCGAGAAGTTAATTCTGCAGAGGAGGAAGGACTTTAATGTGGTATGAATTTGTTTGGATGTAGGAAAGGAATTTGTTTGAATGTAGGAAAGGTGACTTTGTTCAAGTTATGTTTGTCTAAAACTATACACTTTACCTCTTTGGTGAAATAAGTCACTGAGATAGAATAAAAACTTTTAAACTACCATTACAGTATATCAGTGAGAAGACTTTGAATTAGGAAAAAATAATATTAGGCATTAATTTTTTTGTTTCCATCTCTTTTAAAAAAAGTATTTTATTGAGGTCATATTGGCTTATAACATCATGTAAATTTCAGTTGTACATTATTATATTTCGGCTTCTGTATAGACTGCATCATATTCACCACCAATAATCTAGTTTTTAAGGTGTTAACTTTTTATTTCAAAAGGAAGCCTAAAATATTTTTGAATGAAGCATAGACAAATTAAAAGCATAATGTTTAAGGGAAAATGTAGTGAAAACTCTTATGAGTATAATTGTTGTTTTGATGAGAAGCTAGATATTAAAACGAGGTTTCAGTAGTAAATTAGAACCACAAGCACAAATTTTAAGAAGAAAATACGTATTTTACAAAATACATTCACTTATTTTTTGAAAACAAAATAAGGATACTTTGGAGTTACGAAACACTTTTTCTAATGTATCTCAAAGTTCTTTTAAAAAATAAATATCAAACCTATTTTCAGAAATTGTGGCACAAAGCAATTTCAAAGTTTGCTTGAAAACATAAAATAACATAAACCCCAATAATAACAGAAATAACTAATATTAAATTAAATATTAATATTATATTACATATTTGTGTATTTAGTATTATATTAAATTTTGCATTGTGAGTCCCATTCTTAAAAACACAACCACATATTTTTGTTTAATTAGGATCATCATTAGCAAGATTAATGTTACTAATAGGTTCTCCATTATTAGAAAATCGTATGATGAGTATTTGCCCACTATATTTCTGGGACATAATTTTGAGTGATCCCTAAAGATCTAAGAGATAACAATATATCTTGAAAATCGTGGCATTATTTGAGTTATCAAATTTCTACAATTAAGAGTATATATCATTCATCCAATCAGTAATTTTTAAGGTTTTTACATTGTTTTTAGAAATTACAAAAAAACCTAAGGTTGGAGAGTAAGCTACCCATAATCCTGTCACCATGTATAATCGCCATTAATTTTTGGCATATTTCTTTTTATATTTTTCATATTTTTGTATCGTAATAAATTGTATATTACATATAACTTTTGCATTCCTTTTCATATGCTCTGGTTCTTTTTATATGTTTTCAATTAAAAATCTAAAACATTAAAATATACTCATGTTACAATTATAGTTGAGTATTCCAATGGATATTTGAAATACCTCCCAGCAAATGATAGAACTGTTAGAAAGAAAATTAGCAAACATATAGAAGATCCCAACAACACAATCAAGCAACAGGACGTAATTGACATATATAGAGAACACTCCACCCTACAACAGCAGAATACACATTTTTCTCAAGTACCCATGGAAAAGTTACCGATATGGACCATATCTTGGGCCATAAAACAAACCTCAACAAATTGAAAAAAATTGAAATCATTCAGAGTATATTCTCTGACCATAATGGAATCCAAATTGAACAGTAAAAAACCCCCAAAACAATCTAACTTGAAAGTGGGCAGAAGACGTGAGCAGACATTCACTGTAGAGGACATGCATATGGCACATAAGTACATAAAAAGATGTTCATTGTTTGACGTCATTAGTCAGAGAAATGCAAATTAACACTACAATGAGATATCAATACTTACCTATCAGAATGGCTAAAAGAAAAAATATGACAACATCAAAAGCTGAGAATGGTGAGAAATTGGATCACTTACACATTGCTGATAGGAATGTAAAATGGTATAGCCAGTGGAGAAAACAATACGGCGGTTTCTTTAAAAACTAAACATGCAACTGCTATACAACTCAACAATTGCACCCCTGGGCACTCATCCCAGAGGAATGAAGACTTAAGTTCATATAGAAACCCATATATGAATGTTTATAGCAACTTAATTCATAATAGCCCCCAAGTGGAAGCAATCTAGACGTCCTTCCATGGGTAAATGATTAA